TTGATGGCCTGAAAGAGGGGCAGTGTGTTTCACTGGCTTTGGTTCTCAGAGCTGACTGAGGCTTGTGGCCTGGGAGGCAGGATAGCAAGGTGAGTCTTATCTAGAACTAGTCTATGGCACAATGATTGGACAGGGAAGCGGCATGTTCAAAAGGGCGTGTTCCCTGCATTTAAATGCATTGTGACATAGTTTGAAGATTCAGCCTCAAAGTAAGAGGAGGTGACAGTTTTAGATTTAGGGCCAGTCAGCATCTGTTTTTCCTTTTGGAGTCTGGAACCATTGTAAATTCTTGAAAGAAGAGAATTGAGTTGGACTTGATATTGAGGAGAGTGTGAAGGTAAGAAAAATTTAATTAAGAAAATTCTTTCAAGACAATTCAAATTAGGGAAACTGCTGGTGTGGAAAAATGGAGAATCAAGAAATTTTAAAGCTGCATGTGCCTATATACACTTTACTGTGACTGAAGCAAAGTGTAAAATGAAGTTCAAGTTTGTTTATCATGACAATGGGTATTAAAATATGAGTCACCGATTAAGACTTAGGTATACTTTGGGTGGGGGGGAGTAGTGGCTTAATATGAAATTCTAATTTAAGTTTTTTCTCATTATAGTGTTTATCTTATATTGAAGTATCTATTTGATTGAGAGTCTACCAAAAAATTGTTGATCTCTTTCTCTGGACTGTTTTGAGTTATGTCCTCTTTTTGTATATAGGCCTGGTCTGTGGTTTGTGTGGCTATAACACCTGAGAATTAACACCTAACACTTGATTTAGATCTTGGAATTTGCTCAATATTATATCTCTAAGTGCTAGAGTTTAAAATCTTTCTCTTTTAAGTAGGGAGTGAGTATGTGTGTGTGTGTGTGTGTGTGTGTGTGTGTGTGAGAGAGAGAGAGAGAGAGAGAGAGAGAGAGAGAGAGAAAAGGGAGAGAGAGAGAGGGAGGAATGAAGAGGGACATGGGTGGTCAGCAAAGGGGCCAATGAGGATATTAGGAATTTTTTTTCTTGTCTTCATTCCAGAGGATGATGTTTGGTATTATAGGAGGGACAGGTTTCTTTTGATGGGGGAGGAGTATGATTCTTAGGATGAGCCACATCTAGAGGCTCATCATATTAAGCCACTATCCCCAAAAAAGTACATCTAAGTCTTAATCAGTGACTCATATTTTAAGACACATTGTCATGATAAACAAACTTGAACTTCATTTTACACTTTGCTTCAGTCACAGTAGTGACTGAATGAATCTTTCAGGTGGAATCAGACAGGAAGGGTCCTGAAGGAACTCCTTTCTGTTTCCTACCCTTACTGTTTTCCCCAGGGTTTCTGCTGGCTGCTTGGCAGGTTTGGGTAAATAAAGAAATTGTGTGGTTTTTTTTCCCCCCCAAAGAGAATGTGCCTACAGTGGATTTAGATCTTGTCAAACTCGCCTACTGTACTTAATTTTTACAAGGACTAAGATGGACTTGTAGTTGATAGTAAACAAGGAACAAGATTGATGGGCCGTGGTTTCTAAAAGATAAGAGTGAAGTGATGTTTGAGGATGTGGGCAATTTTTTCTTTCTACAATGAATGTGAAGTAAAATGAATGCCATTTTCATTGCCAGAAATAACTGGATCTGTGTTGGATCCCTTAGTCAGGTGAATATAGCAAACCTGTTGGGACTTTGACTTTGAGCCTTTTAAACATAGAAAGAATGGGACCACCATATTGTTTCAGTTTAAAAGGCCTAAGATACAAAAGTCCTATAACTGAAGTAGGAAGGACTCATTTTTTTGCCCCATCTGAATCACTTCACAGCTTTCTTTAAAAACTGTCAGCCGCTTCCCATGGCCTCCTTGTCACATTCCAGTGGGCGTGCTGACAGATGTTGGTCCTTTCAGTCTGTGGGGCATGGTCATGGAGTTGGGTATGGAGGTCTATTTGGCATAGAGCTGCACATTCATCAAGAGTCCTGGTGGTTTCCTGCTTTCCATGACATAGGTGGCATGTTTTACTTCTATGTTCAAAATATTTACAAAGTAATTCTAAACATTTAAAGGCAACAATTTTTATAACCCTGTTTGGCATTTTCTTTCAGTTTTTAATATGCTGGGGAGCCTCAGGGGAAAAAAATGTGATTCAGTCATCTAACTTTACAGGGTCCCCAATTATTGGTTATACAGACTCTCATAATACGGTCAAAGAGGCTAATGAGGGGGGACTGATCTTCTATAACTAATCACACAAAGAATCCATTAAAGTCAGAGCTGGTTTCCTGAGAAGGTGTAACAGGGCCCACCCTGTTTGGGCCATTGGAGAGGATTTCCTTGAGCATATGAGAAGTCAGCTGAGTTTGGGGCAAGGAAGAATTAAAGTTAGGCCAAGGTAATACGTCTCATGATTAATTAGTTTTTAGGGAAATAGACTGACTCTGGGAAGACTTTCATATTTTGGTTTTGGGTAACTGCATGGAAGCAGTGTTGTTATTGTTTTTTTTTTTTAGTTGTATTTGGACATTTATTTATTTATATGTGGTGCTGAGGATCAAACCCAGGGCCTCGCACATGGTAGAGGAGCGCTCTTCCACTGAGCCACAACCTCAGCTCCAGAGGCAGTGTTGTTAACCAAAAGAAGTAACTGGCCAAAAGTTCCTTTCTTGTAGTGGGTGGGTAGATAAGACGATTAGTTCATTCTGGAGTATGCTGAGTATGAGATGGCCTTTGGGACCTCAGAGTAGAGATGTCATGTAAGTAATTGATCTTGTATTATAAGAACAGAGTTACTCTTGTTCATTTAGAACTTTATAGTATACAACACTACCCAGGTCCAATGGGAACTAGAAAGAATAGATTTATAGTCCCTGCTTTCAATGAGTTTATTCTCTAATTATAGTAAAGAAGATCACCATAGAATAGCCAAGTAACTCTCTAAGGCAATAGCAGATGAAATGTTATAGGCAGCACATGAATCATTTTCAGAGAAATGTTGGGAAGCCTCTTGCTTTTCTGTATTAGTACCCAAGTAGATTTGTTCATTTTGTATTTCCTTTGTTTTATTCTAGTAGTTTGAGGTGAGCTGAGGATAGCACAAGCTTATTTGTTAGTTTTGTATGTAATTTGCTTTGGAGTAGCTCATTTTAATTTTATGAGGTAGGTTCAGCTATTTGTCCCATTTAACAGAAAAAGAAACTGAAGCACTAAAAAGGTTAAGTAATTTGACAAAAAACCATGTATCTCATAAATGATAGTTCATATTTCAATTTACTCAGTCTGAATCTAAAACCTCTGCCCCTCATTTTTTATACTATTCTTTTATTCTATCCTTTTAATCACCCATCATTTAAGTTATTTGAAAATGGTATTTTAAGAACTGAATAGTTATTTAATTTTTATGCTGATTTTTGACATTTATGTTGTTCTAATTTGGTTGTTGTAGTTCCAAGTGTATCTGCAGGCTAAATTCCTACAAGTGTTTCCTGTACTAAGGAAAATGTTTAAAGCTCTTCAATCATTTAAAATTCTATTCTAGAAAAGTTAAAGGACATTTTTCAATTTGCAGGGAAATAATTTTCAGCCTCATATGGTTGCTTAGACTAAAACAAACAGGTGCATTCTGTAATACTATGATAAAATGGTGATTAGGATAATGAATCAGATACTGTTAGAGCAGGAACTCCCAATATCGTTGTGGTCTACCTCCTTTGTTTATTAAGAACTAAGGCTCAGTGAAGTTAAGTAACATGCCTCAAACCACAACAAAAGTGTCAGAACAAAAATCTGTTCTTACCACTGTGTGGTGTATAGAGTCTGACACTTAGATGGCTTAGATGATTCAAGAGTGCACTGCAATGACCAACTGGGGTCTTGGTTGAGATTTGAGATTTGTAGTATAAGGATCAGATTCATGGTTTCCCTCAAAGCTTCCTGTTATGTTAGAGGATTGTGGAAATGACCCAAGGGGTTGTCTCTTCATGATTCTGTTGATAGTATAATATGTTTTTTAAACAAAGGACTGCTTTCATAATTAAAAATGCACAAAATTCAAGACTGGTTTTCTGTAGTACTATTCAAATACAGAGACTACTTCTGTTTATCAGTCAGAGGTGATTACGATGTGACAATACTATAAATAAAATTCAGTATGCATCTGGCCAGGCAGAGCTAAGCTGTTTTAAAAATAAACCTCAAAATTTCAATAGCTTATGCACGTAGAACATTGCTTTTTGCAAAATATGGAGGAGGTTGGTTGCCAGTCCTCTCTGTTGTACAAATGCCATGCCCAGGTGCAAAGGCAAGAGTAGAGAAAGAGAAATCACATGCACTTTACTGACACAGCCTGTAAGTGATGTGCACCAATTCAACCCTCAGAAGCCAGAACTAAAACCAAGGTTCCAATCCAACTGGAGGAGAGGCTGAGAAAGTGTGGGGAGGAGCATTAGCAATCTCTAATAGACATTGGTGGTCTCCTTCACACACTGGATTCTTGATATTTTGAAACCTTGAATCTTCAAAAAAAATTGTTGGTAGTTTCATATCATTTCAAATTTTAAACAAAAAGATCATAGTTTCATATTACTTTCTTTTAAATAAGCTTAAAGGGCAACTGTATGATGAAGTTCATACTAACTTTTTAAGAAATCCTTTTGAATAAAATCCTTATAGAAATCCTTATGATAAAAACAACAAAACATTTGCATAATAGTTGTGAGATCTGGGCAAGTCATTTAACTTCTCTAAACCTGTATCTCAACTGAAAATGGTATAATTCTTCATTTGTGAGTATGTCTCAAAAAGTAAGTTTGAGATGGCATGTAAAATACTTAACATGGTGTCTAAGATGCATGATAACTGTTCTGTGAATGCAGACATTGGTTTTCTTTTATTGGTATTGTTGTCATTGTAGTGGCTCTACTATGCACCCATGATCATCAGAAGTCAGTATAATCTGTGAGGACAAAAGATGTTTTGGCCAGGTTCCAGAAATGAAATGTCTGTCTTCTGGATGTTCTTATCTTTGTAGGTCATGGGGAGTTTCAGAGGTCATGCCCTCCCTGGAACCTTCTTCTTTGTCATGGGCCTTTGGTGGAGTACAAAGACTCTTCTGAAGTATGTCTGCAAAAAGCACAAGCGGACTAGCTACCTTAGTTCCAAAGCATTATTCCATCGAGTAGAAATTTTGGAGGGAGTTGTAATAGTTGCCATGGCTTTTACTGGTGAGTGGACCATTTCTGTTTTATTTTCTCCTTCTGAGTATTTTCATATGCAAAGAGAAGCAAAATTACAAAATCACTAAAATGAATTTGTATTAAAAAATCTCAATACATATTCTGATTATAGTGTCTATCTTATATAATTTGTTAGATAGGTAATACTTCATGTTCACACAAAGCCTTAATGAATTAGCCTTAGTAGTTAATTTACTTATCCGGTCAAGGTAAATTGCCCTTATAGAATGGATTGGAGCCTCTGAAATAATTGTTATGAATTGTTCAGATTCTTTTTTTTTTTTTTTTTTTTTTATATTTTATTAGTTATTCATGAATCTTTATTTATTTATTTGCTTATATGTGGTGCTGAGACTCGAACCCACTGCCTCACACATGCTAGACAAGTGCTCTACCACTGAGCCACAACCCCAGCCCCATTGTTCAGATTCTTGAGAAAAAAAAAAAACCCCAACAGGAATGATACCAAATAATACCAAACCCTAACAAATGATACCAAAATAATCAAGTGATCATGGGAAATTTTCAGTAATAAATTGTTGCCAATAGGCTGTAGAAAGGGGTCAGGGCTGAGGAAGACCTTGCTTCACACATTCATCCTTTTTTCTGTTTTTCTGAATTGGAGAAGGTTAAGGCAGGTAGCTTCTTAAGGACCTCCCATTGCCTTTGAGGATTCTGTGAAGCATTCTATGTTTCTAGAGTTCCACTGCAGTCTCTCCTCTGTAAAAGGTAAAGCCTCCCATTTTCCCATTAGATTTTTTCATGACACCAGGTATTTGCTATGGCCATCAAATTGAAGTGCAACTGTTTCCAAAGAGATTAACAAATAAAGCAGCATCACTGAGAAAATTAAACTTACGCATAACTGACTTAGATCATACTCTCTGTCTGGGCCTTCTCAGTTATCTTTAATTAGGAGAAAAGCTGAATTCTTTAGCATTTTTACTGGGAATCAAGGACAACTCCCTACTTTGTGGCAACTACTCAAAGATTCAGTATCCAGGAAGGAAGTAATTAGCCTTTATAATATTGACCTTGAAAATATAAACTCCCAAATCATTCAGGATTTACTTTAGTCATTAGATTGGAATAGGTAGTTGAACTAAAATCATCAGCATTGAATATATGAAATAGCTGTTTGATTCATATGGCTTTCTTTTATGAAAAGTGGTCCAAATCAGCATTTGAACCTGTAAAATAAGGGTAAAGCATCAGTGCTAGGCTGTTAGGAAATAGCTCCAAGAGAAGAATTAATGATGTAAGGAAGTCAGTAGATTGGAATAGTCATTGCACACGTCCTCTTGCGTCTTCATGCATGCTGGGGAAAATTGTGGAGAGGGTTGCTAAAACTGCCATGTTTCTCTACAGGCATGGCTGGGGAACAGTTTATTCCTGGAGGGCCCTACCTGACCTTATATAAAGAAGGCCAGTGGAACCAACTCCTCGGCTGGCATCACTTCACCATGTATTTCTTTTTTGGGATGCTGGGTGTGGCTAACATCTTATGTTTCACCATCGGTTCACTTCCAGTCTCCTTAACCAAGTTAATGTTGTCAAATGCCTTATTTGTGGAGGGTAAGTATGGGTGGTATTTTCCTGTCCTTTTCTCTGTTAGTGGGTGTTTGTGTGACCCTTTATAACAATGTATCTTTGCTGTCTTGTTGCAGCTGTGATTGGGGGAGCTGTAATGGGATATTTGATGTCCTAGGTAGGGTGCCAAAGACCTTCCCTCCTGACCTGTTTAGTAGAATTGGGCAAGGACAGTCGTTCAAGAGTGTTTTATTCACATTTCACATCTGTCTTAAAAGAATCACCTGTAATGATTCCTTACAGGTTGTCCTGTAGATTTTTATTTCCAGTGAATTCTGAAAACTGAATTCAGAGTCATGGTATATGAATATCCCAAAATAGGTCAATCACTCAAAGCAGAAAGGCTTCCACTGTCTACTAATCAGCTTTTAAAATACTGATAAAGTAAACCTCTGCTCTAATATGATTAGTAGAATTGAAAAAATTCAGTAACATAAAAATTTGAGGTCCTAATTTTGAGAGGTTCATGAAAAATAATAGGCTTTGTTCAATTGTTTTCCTGTTTGTGTGAGAGGGGGTAGGGAGTAAAAGCGAGTGTTTACTGATTTATTTTCATTTATTACATATAAAAGAAATAGACTGATTATGGAACTACAAAAGCCCCAAATGCCTCCCTTTTCTCCCACATATGAAGATAAGAACTTCTGCCTAATCCTCTGAGAATAGAGCTGAATGAAAGATGGGTGCCAACAACCAGAAGTGTGGTTCTTGTTCTCTCCAGGTGTTACTATGTTTTGAACGAACATCTTTTCCATTTTATCTAAAGTAAAATGATTAGGATGGAGCTGGAATCTGTCCGTGGAATTAAAAAAAAAAAATGCAGTTAGGTAAACTTGTCATACTTGGAAGGTCCACCCTTGTGACTTATGGATGTGTTTCTTTCTTCCCTGAGCTGGTTCCTCAGAGCAAGGCTTCAGCTTCAGCCTGCTCTTCTCTGTAGTCACCTTAATTACAGCTCTCTGCCCTATCATATTTATTATTCATCATCTTGTATAGTTGGTGATTTAAAATTTAGTTAGTGGAGAATGTCATGGTGTGTTAGAAGACAGAGTAAAGGTTGGAGAAGGGAAAATATTAGATTCTGAGGAGGCAGCGATGACTCCAAAAATGCAAGAATGCATTCTGGTGAGCAGCAGTGGGGACATGATTTTTGGACAATTGTGTGTGTATAGAAACTTCTGTGGGCAGAGAGAGGGAGTGAGACAAGCAGTGGGCAGTATTTGGTTTCATTGACAAAAACAAACTATTTCCCTCCCTCAATTAGCTTTCATCTTCTACAACCACACTCATGGCCGGGAAATGCTAGACATCTTTGTGCACCAGCTGCTGTTCTTGGCCATCTTTTTGACAGCCCTGGTGGCCTTCATGGAGTTCCTCATACGGAACAATGTACTTCTGGAACTCCTGCGGTCAAGCCTCATCCTTCTACAGGGGAGCTGGTTCTGGCAGGTGAGTAGGGGTCTCCAGCTAATCTACCCATCATCTCTACCTATAGTTTCTGTTCTTATTTGATAGGGCAATTTGCTCTAGGCTCCAGAAATTTCCTTCCAGTGTGTTGTCTGTAGGGAGAATGTGGGCCCCTGAGAAGTGATGTTCTTCAAATACTCAGTGTCTCTGTTGGGATCATTGTCAGAGCAACTGGGCAGGAATCTAGGTGTGTAATTCTTCCTCACACATCTGAATATGTGAGAACTCTGCGCTGATGCTGTTAGTCAGAAGCAGATCATGATGCTAAAACTACTTAAAGCCTAATGGGTAGTAAGCTTGAAAAATACATGGGAGGCAGGAAAGAGGAAACTAATATTTATTTATTGAGAAACAACTATATGTTGGCCATGGTGCTGGATTTTTTATGCACACATGATTTTATTCTGTCTTTACAACAATCTGGAAGTTAGGTACTATCATTTCTAATTTACCGATAGGAAGATTCAGAGAGACTAAGTTACTTTCTCAAGCTCACACTATAAGAGGAGTGAGGATTTGAATCTGGATTTGTCTGACAACAACAAATTCCAGGCTTTTTCCACTTTATGATGTCAACTCCATAATCGTGGTGTGTTGTCGAAAGTATGAATTCAGGTCAGTGGATATGTATTTTGTAAAGTCTCATAAATCATTATCTAATACACAAATGTAGATGTAAAGAAAGTCTGGGATGGAAAAAGAATGTGGTTTAATTAGGGAAAACTTCTTAGAAGAGATGTTTAGTTACCAGAGAGTAGAAGACTTGGCATGATGAAGTTATTTCAGAGATTTGTATGTCATATGACAAATAATAAGACAGCATTGGGATGTGAGGAAAGGAGAATTATAATGGTCAAAACAGGGTAGGAAAGATGTGGCATTTCAATATGTCAAGGAGGGGCTAGGGCTGTAGCTCAGTGGTAAAGTGCCTACCTAACATGTGTGAGGCACTAGGTTCAAGCCTCAGCACCACATTACAATAAATAAATAAATAAATAAATGTATTGAGTGCATTTACAACTAAAAAAATTAAAAATAAATAAATATGTCATGGAGTAGAAAGGCTGTTGTTGGAGCAAGGAGGGGATACATTAAAGGGTCATTTTGAAAAAGTATTACAGAAAAAAAAGACAAATACCCTATAATGTGATGAAGGTGATAACTGGTAATTTAACCAGCTCTTATACAGAAGTTATATGTTAGATTATTTAAGAACTAAGGCTGTTAAATATAAGCTGCGTGTTAGTTTTCTAGTGGGAACACTCATTGAATAAATAGAATGTTATGTAAAACATTTTTAATAAGATAACTTCTGCTTAAGAAGACACAATGAGTTTATGACAGAGTTTATCTTATCTGCTCCAGACATATAACAATGACAGATAAAACATTTTGAAATCCTAGAAAATAAAAAGGAAAATAAAAATTTTAAAAGAAATAAAAATAAATAATAAAGTAAAAAAAAAACATTAGACTACACTTAAGCAAAACAAACACAGGAAAAGAATCTTGGGGGCCAGATGCAGAACAGAAATGCACAGCAGGAATAGAGCTGAGCTATCTGCATGTTGGTTCTAGGTCCAGAGCAGACAGTTATGAATTGTTGTTGTGGGATGGAACCAGACTCTTGGAACTCCTAAATTTTGTCATTTGTATATTTTATTTTCCTATTTTTTTCATCTGATTGATCTCTCACTGTCTTAGAAGTCCGTTTAAAGATATATATGATAATTACGATCTTTTCAATTTCTCATTTTCAGGTTTGCTTCCTTGTCATGCTATCTTTTGCTTCTCTCTTTTTTTCAGTTGAATGATGATCCTCATTCATTCTCAATCTTTCTTGTTTTAAGATAAATACATTTAAGGCTATAAATTTCCCTCTCAATACTACTATAGCTGCCCTTTTGGGTTATTTTGAATGTTGCCATTTCCACTTACATTCCTATTAACTTATGTTCCTTATGTGTGTACATTTGTGTGTGTGGTGCTGGGGATTGAATCCAGGACATTCATGCATAGTAAGCACATGCTGACCACTGAATTATACCTTTAGTCTGAGGAAAATACTTTTCAAATGTTTTCAAATGTATTCTTTTTCTTAATATTATTCATTTCTAATATAATTGCTCTGTGGTCAGATAACATGTTTTCTTTGAGTCCTGTTGAGACTTTCTTTGGGATATAGCCTGAAGTCAGTGGTTGTAAAACAAACAAACAAAAAAGAAACTCAATGTATTTGAAAAGAAAGTATATCATTTATTTGTTGAGTTCAGATTCTACATTGTATTAATCAGCTTTCCTTTACTGTAACAAACTGAACTGATCAACCTAAAAAGAGAAAAAAAGGTTTATTTTGACCCATAGTTTCAGAAGTTGAAGTCCATGATCAGTTTGGTCCATGTGGGAAGGTAGCATATCATGGTGGGAACATGTTGGGGAGCAAAGCTACTCACTTCATGATATGGAAATGAAAGAGAAAAAGAAGAAGAGACCAAAATCCCATAATCTCCCTTGAATATATGCCTCCAGTGGTATAAGGGCCTCACACCACAGTTCACATCCTAAAGGCTTCACCACCTCTCAGTAGCTCTACCCTGGGAGCAAGTCTTTACCACTTAAACCTTTGAGGGACATTTAGGATCCAAATGTACACATATATTTACTAGATCAATTTTGTTAAAGAGCTTAATGTTCACATAAATATAGTAAGAACAAAAGGGAACTCCAAAGAGAGTTGAAGGAATGAATTATAAAAATAAGAGTAGAACTAATAAGTGATTCATGAGGAGCATAGAACTTAGTTTTGCTCTTATCTTTATAAGTTAACCACATCATGCAATTTCAGTTAATAATTAATGATTAATTAAGTCTGATGGAGGAAGATGTATATATCTCAACTGAGAATAAGTTGGCTTAATTTCCCCCTTTTGACAGAGAAATGTTTTCATATTTCTTCAAAAGCTTTTCTAAGGAAGAGCTTTGAGATTAAAAAGACTAGACAAAACTCTATGATTATTTGGAAGTGTTTTCACCTACCAATATGTCTACACCAGTTTCCTGTTAGGCCTGGTGGCCAATCTGAATAATTCTGGAGCCTCAGAAAAAGTGAAAACACACTGTGAAAAGGGAAAAGTGAGATTCCAGTGTAAAAACACACACACCAATAAAAATGTCAGTTTAGCCATAGTAACTCTCCCACTCTTAGATTCCTCTGAAACAAAAAATTTCCAGGATGTTTATGGCCAAGACTCTGTCTTAAGCTAACAATTTTATATTGTGATTTTCTTTTCATCATATATTTCTTCTTACCACTTCTCCATGTGTGGCTAAGAATAAACTAGTATGCAATCAAGTTATTGTGTAATATTCAAATGAGTGGGAATTTCCCTCCCAATCTATGAAAACTGGTTTTCTTCCTGAACCAGTTTACATTTAAAATGTTTTCTCAATAACTTAACCACATTATGCAATTTCAAAAATAAAATTCTTCAGGTCCCTGCATTCCATGAGTCATGTTTTCCTCGTGGCTCTGTATGGGAGAATATGTCAATAGCTCACCTTGTGCTTTGCCCCTCCCAATCTCCTTCTCATCCTCCTTAAGCCGAGGTACATGCAGAGGATGTGGAAACTGTCCCTGTTGTTGTCACTTCTTGTTAGTTTGGACAGTTGTTTCCTCTGTGTCTTCCAGCTCCAATACCACCCTCTCCCCTAACTAAAACCAGCCTTGTTTTGTCTTTAAGACAAAAACTCATTCTATAATGTCAAAAAGACCCAACTAAGCAGTAGCTGTCTGAGGTCTGATACTTCAGATCAAACACTTGTATAGGCTTATAGTGTTGAAATAAATGATTGGTTAAAAATTTCTTAAAAAAATAGGAAATTTACACTCAACTATAGAATGTTGGTCCCTGACTTATTGCTTATTAGAGAAGATAGTTATTTATGATTGAAATGTGATACTAATGAGCTTAAACTAATCAAAAACAGATGATCAGGAGTGGCATACAAGATATAGCAAAAAAAAGTTGCAGGCATTTTTTTTTGTCTTAGAATTTCAGGTTAGAAAGCAAATTAGGGCAGCAGATAAAAGTGCAGTGAGTTGAGGCTGGGGCTGTACCTCAGTGGCAGAGCGCTCGCCCAGCATGTGTGAGGCTCTGGGGTCTATCCTCAGCACCAGATACAAAAATAAATAATAAAAATAAAGGCATGAGATGTAATCTTAGAGTGGTTTTGCTTTGCATTTCTCTAATTGCTAGTGATGATGAATATTTTTTCATAAAATTTTTGATTGATTATATATCATCTTCTGAGAAGTGTCTGTTCAGGTTCTTGGCCCATTTATTGATTGGGTTATTATTATTTTTTTTGGTGTCCTTAGCTTTTTGAGTTCTTTTTTTAAAATATTTATTTCTTTTTTAGTTTTAGGTGGACACAATATCTTTATTTTACATTTATATGGTGCTGAGGATTGAACGCAGTGCCCTGCACATGCTAGGCGAGAGCTCTACCACTGAGCCACAAACCCAGCCCTTGAGTTCTTTATATACCCTAGAGATTAGTGGTCTATCTTATGTGTGAGGGGTAAAGATTTGCTCCCTTTCTGTAGGCTCTCTATTCACCTCACAAACTGTTTCTTTTGCTGAGAAGAAACTTTTTAGTTTGAGTCCATCCCATTTATTGATTCTTGATTTTAATTCTTGCGCCAAAGGAGTCTTATTAAGGAAGTTGGGGCGTAATCCCACATGATGGAGATTAGGGTCTACTTTTTCTTCTATTAGATGCAGAGTCTCTGGTTTTATTCCTAAGTCCTTGATCCATTTTGAGTCACTCCAATCAGAATGGCAGCTATTATGAAGACAAACAACAATAAGTATTGGTAAGGATGTGGGGAAAAAGGTTCACTCATACACTGCTGGTGGGACTGCAAATTGGTGCAGCCAATATGGAAAGCAGTTTGGAGATTTCTTGGAAAACTAGGAATGGAACCACCATTTGACCAAGCTATCCTTTCCTCAGTCTATACCCAAAGGACTTAAAAACAGCATACTATAGGGACACAGCCACATCAATGTTTATAGCAGCACAATTCACAATTGCTAAATTGTGGAACCAACCTAGATGCCCTTGAGTAGATGAATGGATTAAAAAAAATGGGGCATAATGGAATATTACTCAGCAATAAAAGAGAATAAAATCATGGTATTTGCAGGTAAATGGATGGCGTTAGAGAAGATAATGCTAAGTGAAGTTAGCCAATCCCCAAGACCAAATGCCAAATGTTTTCTTTGATATAAGGAGGCTGACTCATAGTGGAGTAGGGAGGGGGAGCATGGGAGGAATAGAGGAACCCTAAGTAGGGCAGAGGAGTGGGAGGGGAAGAGAGTGGGGACATGGGGTTAGAAATGATGGTGGAATGTGATGGACATTATTATCCAAAGTACATGTATAAAGACATGAATTGGTGTAAATATACTTTGTATACAACCAGAGATATGAAAAATTGTCCTCTATATGTGTAATAAGAATTGTAATGTATTCCACTGTCATATAAATAAAAAATTAGTTAGAAAAATAAAGACATGATGTCTATCTACAACTACAAAAAAAATCTAAAAGAAAGGTGCAGTGAGTGATTTTTATATTTAAAAGAGTATCTTGGGGCTGGGGATGTGGCTCAAGCGGTAGTGTGCTCGCCTGGCATGCGTGCGGCCCGGGTTCGATCCTCAGCACCACATAAAACAAAGATGTTGTGTCCGCCGAAAACTAAAAAATAAATATTAAAATTCCCTCTCTCTCTCTCTCTCTCTCTCTCTCTCTTTCTCTCTCTCTCTTTCTCTCTCTCTCTTTCTCTCTCTCTCTCTCTTAAAAAAAGAGTATCTAATGATTTTGTATTGGCAAATATTTTAAACTCACTTATTTTGGAGCAGATTCTTAAGGATGTTTCTATATACAAGATCATATCATTTGTAATATATATAGTTTCACTTCTTCCTTTCTAATGAGTATTTTTAATTTTCTTTGCATATTGTTCTGGCTAGAATTTCTAGTACAATGTTGAATAGAAATGATGAAAGCTGACATCTATGTGTTGTTCCTGGTCTTAAAGGGAAAACTTTCTTTCACCCTTAAGTATAATGTTATCCATGGGAATTTATTTCTTTTAAAACCTTTTTGGACTCTAATTCTGAAATAACAGAGTGAACTGCACAATGTAGAAACCTAAGACATTTGGAAAGACCACCCATCCCCCGAGAGAATTATTATTCTTATTTTGAAAATTAATTAGTAAATGTCCTTTTAATTTTTATTTCCAAAAATATGACTTGGTGGATACTGTCTATATGTTACTAAACAAGCAACTGAGCTTGATGTTTTTTTTTTCTGTGACAACTTAGTGAGTTATCTTAGTTAAGCAATTGGAAATGCACATTTTTAAGAATATGGTTGGTTATTTTAATATGTGCAATTTTGTTTTAAATTGCAGATTGGTTTTGTCCTGTATCCCCCCAGTGGAGGTCCTGCATGGGATCTGGGGGATCATGACAACAGTATGTTTCTCACCATATGCTTTTGTTGGCATTATGCATTGGCCTATATCATCATTGGAGTGAATTATGCTTTTGTCACCTGGTAAGTTAGTGAATTTTGTTTATGGACGTTTCCTTTCTTGTGTATTATCTGATGGTCAACACTTCACAGTGTTCAACTTAAAATTCAAAAGAAGATTTTATTCCGTACCATCCTATAAGACAGGGTAGCATAGCAAAAAATTATCAAACACAGAAACTGCCACTTAAAGAATACATATGTGCTGTTTTAAAGTTGGAATAGCTCAGTGGTGTCTCTGCTGTGCCACTGACAGCACTCTTCTGTGCCTACATATCTTTGCATATGCTGTTCCCTCTTGTGAATGGTGTAACCTCATCTGCAGTGAATCTTCCATTTAACCATGCTCACACACTTTAACTATAGCACCTTTTGTTAGTTTTTCATCTCTGTGACCAAAATAGCTGATACCAACAATTTAAAGGAGGAAAGATTTTTTATAGCTCATGGATTTCAGAGAATCCAGTCCACGATTGGCCAGCTCCATTGCTCTGGGCCTGAGGTGAGGCAGAACACTGGTGCAAAGGCACATCAGAAGAAAGCTTCTCAGCTCATGGTAGCTGGGAAGCAGAATGAGGGCCAGAGGAAGGGGCCAGAGAGAAGGCAAAATCTTCCAGGATATGCCCCCAGTGACCTACTTCCTCCAACTAGTCCTTTCAGCCATCAGTGGATTGATCTACTGATGAAGTTAGAGTTTGCATGATTCAGTCACTTCCCAAAAGGCCCCACCTCTGAACACATGAGACATTCCAGATCCAATCCATAACACACTCCTTAAGCTTGGAGACTTTTGTTTGTTTGTTTTTAACCAATTTGTATGAGTCCCATTAAATTTGAGTGCTTGGTTAATTTGTCATTGATTCTAATATTTCTAAAAGTTGAGTGACACAAGCTTTTTTTTTTTTTAAATAAGAATTCTGATACAACATTCCATGAACAGGTGAGGAGAAATAGACTGAAAAGAAAGCATATTCCTCACTCTTGTATCACTTGGTGGTATTACTTCAGGTCAATTGATCCCTAAATCTCAATTTCTTTTGTTTACAAAGCAGGGTTAATAAGAGTACCTAAATGAGATTGTGTATTTTAATGGCTCAAGACATAATATGAATTCAATAATCGCTGTTGTCTTCTTGCTGTTCTTGATCTTCTCCTCCTTTTCCTTCTCCTCCTCCTTTGGTATTAAAAAAATGAATGAGGTGTAGACTCTAGACCTGGTCTTTGAGGAATTTTAGTCCTGTAGATGGCACTAAATTAGAGAGATGATGAAAATGCAGTACAATGAACGGAAATAGAAGAATAAAGTGCTGTTAGAGCTCGGAGCAGGCTACTCACCATCAAAACTTAAGCTGAAGCTGGAAGATGAACAGGAATTAAAAGTAGTTGTCATGGCTCTTCTCTCCAAGGCAGCTGGTGCCAAGCCACAACTGATTTGGCTGATGCCAATTACCAGGCATGAAAGCTTCAGCACCTAATCCTTTGGGCTTGAGCACTGATTAAAATGTTCTCTGCCTGCAGTGTTCTAAATCTAGTGTTCAGTATGGTAGCCACTAGCTACTGGTCACATGAAAATGGGATTAGTGCCACATTAATTTTAGTTAATTCTGCCTGGGGTTGTGGCTCAGTGGCAGAGTGTTTACTTTGCATGTGTGAGGCACTGGGTTTGATCCTCAGCACCACATATAAATAAATAAACATAAAGATATTGTGTCCACGTGTAACTAAAAAATCTTAACTTTTTAAAATTAATTCAGTTTTCTATGTGGATAGTGGCTAACACATCTATCAGTTTCTCTAGATTCCTACTATCCGATTTAGCCTAGTGGCTGCTTGTAGGCTCAGTGGTGTCTCAGCCTGTGCTGGAACCAGTTTTCCACTCTCTCTAGACATGAATCCTAGGTAACCCCTCCTGCTCTGTGCTTCTTTGTGATTTACTGCTGAAGCCACTCTGGCACTGTGGCTCTGAAGAAACTATCCCCTTGCCCAGCTCCCAGATGTCCCTTAGGGTTTGGGTCAGACCACTTTGATCTGTACTTTCCTGGGTACTGTGTAATTCTGCTTTCTCATTCACCTAAATATGCGATGAGCTCTTTGTTAAGGCTGGCTCTGCCACTGAGTGAAACTTGACTTCTTCCTCTGTTGTTCTAGGCTGACATCTGGGCCTCATCTCCTTAGGGGCTGGGCAGCCTCCTGGAACAGTACCAGAGTTCAAGGAAATTCTCTACCTCATGTCAGCTCCTCTCCAGAGCCAAAAGAAGACTACTGTCTCTTCCTGTTTCAAAAATCTTCAGACGCCTAATGAACTTCTTATTCCCTTGCTATTTTCTATAAACCAGAAACTACATTCTTATTTTTCAACCTCTCCCTTTCCCCACCACATGCTATTCTAATCTTTTTGACCAGACAGTTCCCTCTACCTGGTATATTCACATTAAATGCATATCTCTTCTATGGATGCTTCTGTGATTCCTCTAGCCCTTGCTTGTCTCCCTTTCCTAAGTTTTTTTTTTTTTAATCAATTTATTCTCCACCAGACATTTTAAAAGTTGTGATCTATCTGGTGAAGTTGACTACCATGATGCTGATCAGTCAGCTCTCCATCACTGTGACAGAATACCAGAAACAAACAACTTAACAGAAGAAAGATTTATTTCTGCTCAAGGTTTCAGAGATTTCAGTTCATGAGCAGCTGGCTTCATTGCTTTTAGGCCTGAGGTGAGACAGAACATCGTGATGGGGAGCATGATGAGGGAGCAAAGCTGCTAATCTCAGGGCAGCTAGGAAGCAAAGAGAGAGGAAAGGTCAATAGTCCCAATATACCCTTAAAGGGCACATCCCCAATAACCTACTTCCTCCGACTAGACCTGCCTCCTAAATGTTCTACCAACTCCCAATAGTACCATCAGCTGGGGAAAAGCTTTTAACATGAGCTTTTGGGAGACATTTAAGATCTAAATCATAACATTTTTCTCCTGGGCCCCTAAGGCTCATGTCCATCTCACATGCAATATACAGTCACAATATTGCAATATCCATCCATTGCAATACCATCTGCAAGAATCTTCAAAGTCTTAACAGTTCCAGTATTGCTCAAAGGTCTAAATCCAAAGTCTCCTCTGAGAAGCCAAGCAAACTCTTAGCTGAGAGTCCCTGTAAATGTCAAAATAAAGTTAGATATATCCAATATGTCATGGTACAAAGTAAACATTTCCATTCCAAATAGGAGAAATGGAGACTAGAACAAAGGGATGAGACAAAATCAAGACTGAAACCCAAGAGGGCAAATATTAAATTCTGTAGTTCCATGTCCAGTATCTGGAGCACATGGTATCATGATGTGAGCTTCAAAAGACTTGGACAGTCGCACCCCTATGGCTTTAGTGGCTGCAGCCAACATGACACTATTGTGGGGTAGCTTTGCTTATTGCCTGCAGCCACCCTTGGCAGGTGCTTCACATTCCTGGCATCTCTAACTTCCTGGGGTCTCCAATGCAGCTTCAGCTTCATGCTTATAGCTATATACATCACCTTCTCAGGGGATACCTGTATGGATTCTGACTCACACTACCTATACTCTCAGGTCTTCTTTGAAATTTTGGTGGAATCCCACAGCTCTTTCTGCATGACTACAAAACCACCATCACATGGATGATGCCAAAGTCTTCTGCTAACTCAAGCAGTAGCTAGGTCCACTTGGACCATAGCTGCAGTGTCCTCGAAATGCCCAGATGGCTGAGCACAGTAAAACAAATCCTGAGGAAACAACTTGCTGTTTGGCCCTGTGTACTCATGGGACCCAGATGCTCTCATGCAATGAAAGGCTTACATTTTTAAACCTTTGAACCTGCAACTGGTAGAGTCTCATTGATTCCTGAGGCGCCCTCAAGGCACCTTTCCTATTGTCTCAATGCAAAGTTTTTGGCTTCTTTTTGATGGTGCAAATCTCTTTAACAACTACACCCTCCTTGACCACAACTTTACATACACTACTTTTCTGGCAAACTGCAAGTTTTTCAAAACTTTCTGTTCAGCTTTATATGCTCTCAATTGTCTCTAGAAATCTGGCTCAGAGCCTCCATCAGTACCTACGCCACAGTCTGAAGTCTGTGATGCCTTGAAATTTCCTCCGCTATACACACTTGTTCATTACTTTGAAACTCAGAGAAATGTAGACAAGTCCTTTGCCAAAATGTAAGATGAATGGCTAGGGACCAGGTCTTTACCATATGACTTCTTGGGTGATTTTAAAGATCCAAACCACAATAATTCATGTGTGTTTGTTTTATCTGCTAGCTATATTGTATTGTATTGTGGTAAAGATCCTTTTCATATTCCCATACCTCTTTTACATTGACATATTATATATATATATATATATATATATATATATATATATATATATATATATATATAAAGTGTTCAATAAACACTTGTTTGCTGTGATCTCAGAACTTCTTAAGTGGAGTCTATATTTGTAAATCATGCTTCATATGCTATTTAGTTTGCTCTCATTGCTATTGGTAAATAAAAACAAGAGTTCATTTTTTTTCTGAACTATTTGGATTTAAACTTTAGCAACAACTAAAAATATATTATTAAGATTCATGAGTGTCTTTCAGTGAGGTCACATGAATGGTTAATTTACTCCTGAATTTCAAGGTAAAGATCCTTGAAAATCCACTGGTCAGGGCCTGAGTGATTCAGAAGTTATCCACAAATGATGAAGTGTTAGAACACACATCAGAATTTGTTTGATATAGCACAGAGATCATTACGAAAGCACAACTAGGTTATGAATCCCCAAATCTCTGGAAGATGAACCTATACTTCCCAGCTCTTTAGAACAACAGTTTAAATATTGCCTCATTCAATCCTGTGCCTTCACTCTTTATTATGATAGTTTATAGGTGGTAACTATCTGGAATTCTTATTCCATGTTTTACTGTATCTCACATTTAAACACTACTGTTGCACAGAACTGTTTCAGGAGACCCTTTCTATAAGTAGGAGACTATTTCCTATTTACAGATTGGTATTCCAAGCAATGATTCATGTGATCCATTTTGAAGAACAAAATAGAGATACCTGAATTGTGCTTATGATAGCTTCATGGAAATGCACCTATTGTCTCAGCTCGGCAGTTTCATATATAAATTGAAGAAAATATATGAAAGGAAAATGGCATATGTATCCTGACCTTAGTTCCTGGGCTTTGCACCATTTGAGTAACTAGCAATTTTTTATACTACCTTTTTACTACCCTCTCAATGTGTCCCTGATGCATTTTTGCATGTGCAAAATCTAGAACTACAGCTGGCAGAAAGAGCCTGATAAAGGTGTCTCACTATGTCTCAGCTTGGTGATGGAGTAACAGCAGATAGAACTAGAGAAGAGTCAAATTATGATGCAATTAATGTGTAAGAAGCAGCCATGAATTGTTTTACTTTCCACCAGAGTCTTCAGGAATGAAACTACTCAATTAAATAATCCATTTCATTTCCCATGTGTTGAAAATGTGCCTGGAGTGTACATCTGGAAATAAGATGTAGTTTTCAAAAAATAAAAAAATAAATGACAGAAATCCTCTTCAGCCTTTGACTTGTCAAAGGGAATTGGTCTTTCATGAGAAGGCCAATTGAAAGAGAAGGATTGAGGACAGTGGGAGCAATATCAATAGTCAGTAATCAAGGGTAATGATTTGCAGCAGTTCTTTTAGTTCTTGAGTCAACAGATGTTACTAATACTGCCTAGTTATTGTTGTCTGCTGAGTTGGAAATGACAGAATAATTAGCCTCTATGAACAGATGAGGGTCATTGATTTATCAAATGTGTGTGGAGCCACTATTACATAACAGACATTGGTTCAGACTCTGGCTAGCATTAGGGGAGCAAACAAGTAAACTGAAGCTTTACTGGGATCCAGAGCACAGGGAAAGGCATGACATATTGATAAGATAGGCCAGAACTTCATCAGAAGAAGGCAGAAAATGTTTCAAGATAAAAATAGGCTGTTGGAGTTTTTCATAATAGAATAATTTTGGTGATTTGGTTTATCAAATTTGTTTGCACATTCTATGTATTTTTGGAAGTTATGTTTTATTGATGTGGTCACAGTGCAATGTTCTTATGATAATCATGCACAGAAAAAGCTTTGCACAGTTCTTATTAATAGTCTTTTGATTACATTAGAGAAGTGAAGAGCCTGTGGGGGCTTTTGCTGCTAAGAAGCTTTAGATCTTCAAGTGTCAAGCATTGAAACTGCTACTCTCCACAAACCCACATTTTAGATTCTCTTAACCTATGGATAGGGTCACAAGATAAAGAGAACTTCTCTGAACTTAATTCATCGTGGACAGGGCCATCTCGTGCAGTTAAGTGTGGCCTGTGCCCTACATACAAGCACGTCTCTGAAGGGACAAGTAAGGGCTGAATTCTAGCCAGACTTGGCATGGGGCTTGCCTTGGGTGCCAGCCCTAGGGAAGGAGGTGACTTCCTGCTTTTCCTTTACAGGGGAGGACATCTTTTTTTGCATTCACTGATAGGTATGGCTTTGATAGAGAAGCTCCACTGATCTGTTTCAGATTCTCTTTTGTTTGTTTTAGAAATGATCAAAGTTATCTTCTGATGCCCAATTAAATAATAGCATACTACATTTGAAAGTCACATTTTATCATTTTACTTATAACCTGATTTAATCTACAATCATGCTCATGTAACTCCAAGCCAAATGAAAACAATTTTCCTTTTTGGGATGCTTCCCCTATTCACACAAACAATCTGGAGGTTTATAGGTAAATGATGCTCTCAGTTTTCATTTTAAACATCATCTAACAGAGAGGATTTTCTGTTTCCTCAGGTTGGTGAAATCTAGACTTAGGAGGCTCTGCCCCTCAGAAGTTGGACTCCTGAAAAATGTTGAACGAGAACAAGAATCAGAAGAGGAGATGTGATTTTGATGGGCATCTAGTCTATCTAGATAAACCTATTCTCTTTTGCATTGTCTTTGCTCATGGTTTTGTTTTTTGACCTTTTGTTGGAGATCAACAGGCAGAGGATGACTGTTGTTTGTATTTCTAATTTAGTTAAAGTATTTGAGTTTAAATGTTTTATTTTAGCTTTGAGAATACTTTGGGTGATAAGTTCATTTTGCACAGAATTATATTCAGGGGCTAGAATGAATTTTCTCACATCATGTATCGTTTGATGCCTATATTATGAAACATATTCGTTTTATGTGCCTTATAGACAGGCTCAAGGTTCCTGGCCTTGCTACCATTTCTAACTTGTTGAACACAGAATTATAAATGTTTATCTTGCTGCTGCAATGAGAGATAAATAAATGCATGTACCTCAAATCCTTGTTTTTGTTATTGAGCTACACCTCACCCTTAGGTGATGCACAAGAAGCTGAATGACACAGAAATTCCTTTTGGTGACACAGCTCTCTCTGGAGTACCTGAGTCCTCCCCTGGGAAATGTAGATCAGATGTCCTGTTGAGTTGTGTGATCTTCCCAGGATGAAAGCTATGGTCCCCAGTACACGTGGTTGCAAGACCACCAGAGACTGGGAAAGGAGAGTTGTGGTGTTGGCTGTAAGAGTAAAAAGTCATTACACCATAGAAGGGCCACCCTGCACCCCCTGGGTTAAAGTAGGTGAGGACTTAAAGCAAGGAAAAGGTTTCATAGAATACTGGGTCAGAAGTCAGGGTCCTTTCACAGTTGTGGGCTTCATACCTCTCAGTGGAGAGTCAAGAAATCCCGTTCCTAACTCAATCATTAACCTGCCTCCAGGTATCTAGTAATTGCCATGTCCTCTCTGAAGTGAGGAAATGGAATTGACTGCATCATGGGCCTTTTTCTGGCTGTCACATTGCGTGAATCTCAAAGTGGAAGCATGTGGACAGCTAACTTAACACAATGTCAGTCAGAAAGCCCAGTCTCTGCCATGAGAGAAGAAAGGAGGACTGCAGGAGTCCCCAGGAGAGGACTGACCCAAATGTGGAGGAAAGGAGGCAGCCTTGTGGGCAGCTGGAGCTAAACGTGGGCAAAGTGAATCCTGAGGCCTCCCCTGGCATTCCAGAGCATGGCAAGTGCAGAAGCTGCCCTGTCTGGGACATATCACAGTGGCGCTGAAGACAGAGGTGAGCAGATTCCTCAGGCCCAAGAGCTAGACACATTCATTTTGTTACACAAGGTTTGAAAAGAACAGATGTGGTGCCTAAAGATTTATCTTGAGTAATGCAAGAAAACTTAGTGCATGCTGGCATTTGAAAATACCCACATGCCATAGTCCTTTGGGGATCATGTGTCCTGACCCATATGTGTCCTAGATTTCAGGGTGCTCTTCCAGTCCAGCAAGATTCTATGACTGGCAAATTGAGCTTCAAAGGAATGAGTGAGCAGCCAGCCACAGTTACTTAAAGTTGGCATCACTGGTATCTAGGCCTGAGCAGGAACTCTAGGAATAACTGGAATGATTGAGATTAAGTCTCAGCCAGGCACAATGGTGTATACCTATAATACCAGTGGCTTGGGAGGCTGAGGCAGGAGAATCCCTAGTTGAAAGCCAGCCTCAAAAACTTAGCAAGGCTCTAAGTAAATAAGTGAGATCCTGTCTCAAAATAAGAAATAAAAAAATGGGCTGAGCCTGTGGTTTACTGATTAAGCACCCCTGAGTTCAATTCCTGGCACACACAAAAAAGTAATTAAGTATGGAATCTTGATCACTGATAAGTGTCAATATTCTAGAGCCTTTATGAAAGAGCAGAAATGTTCAGTTTTCAAGTCTCTGCTCTGCACACAGAGAATACAAGAAAGATACAATCCAGTGAGTTCTCAGCTGAGAAACTTTTGATTCAACTTTGAAACCATGGTTTGGGACTGTCTATAGCCCTTGCAATAATCAACAAATTTTAAGACTTATTGTATCTTTATGGTTATATTATTGAATTTGTATTTTACAACCACCATTTTTGTGGAACGACAAGAAAAATTAGCAAGTAGAGATTACACCCAAATAGGAAAGTCTAGAATTTTCTTTACATTGTTTTTGGAGGTCTTGGATCAATAAGTAGACTCTAAAGGTTTAGATTTAGAATTATATAGGTTTTTAAAACCATGACACTTTTTTTTATACCAGGGATTAAACCCAGGGGCAATTAACCACTGAGTCACATCCCAAGTCCTTTTTAAAATATATTTTATTATAGGGTCTTACTAAGTTGCTTAGGTCCTCACTAAGTTGCCGAGGTTGGCTTTGAGTCAAGACCCTTATGCCTCAGGCTCCCAAGCTGCTGGGATTGCAGTCTGTACCACCATGTCCAGCCCATAACACATTTTATAGCAAAAATATAAAACATTTTCACATCTAGAATGGGATAAGGAAAATCATCTTCAGGCAATGCTTATCAACTCGTGGGCACTGATGGGATCATTCAAAGTGGTTTCCATGTGCCAGCAGTGTTCAAGACGCTAGGGACATAGTGATTCTCAGGCCAAAGTCGCTGTCCTCACCAAATATATTCCTATGGGGGGAAAACAATAGAAAAGTCAGAAAAATCTATAATTTGAGGCAATAAATGACGTTTAGATCAATAAAGTTAAGAAGGAGGATCAAGAATGATTGAGTGGGATAATGACACTTTTCCTTGGCTGGTCCTTTCTCATAGGTGTTTCTCTGACTACTCTAGGGAAAGTAGCATCCCAGCCTATTCCTCTCCATCATTATATGAAATTCTAGTCTTCATATGTTTTCAGAGCCTATGACTCTGCTGGGGAAGCCCTCCTCAGAGAGCAGGTGTGAATGGGGGTTCCCTTCCATACTTTGTATTTTGTCTCAACTCTTCCAGTCTCCTGGGGGCCTCATTCCTGAGGTTTTGCCACACTTCCTTCAGGGGACTCTCATGCTTCATTGCCACAACCAGAAGAATAAAGCCTTGCAATAAGTCAGGGCATGATTTCTAGTGCTGTTGTCAGTGCAGCAAAACTGGGGGACATTTTACAAGGCAGATGAAACCCTGCAGATGGAAAGTCACTGTGATGACATGACACATGACAGTGAGGGGTGGGGGTGACTATACAGCAATATCAGCCTTGGCTGTTGTCATGATAACAACTCCCCAGGGCTTTCTGTAGTCTCTGATATCCTCTGCTTGGCCTGCTTGGCAAGCTCTGATTGCAGCTCATTGTTGAAATGGGACGCTGGAACATGACCATAGTGGCATTCTCCTTATCATTTTATCACCATAGACACTCTTTGATGAAGGGTGTGCGGATTGTATTTTGAATGTATATTACCAAGGTGTGGTAGGAATCATAGGGTGTTACAGGAACAATGAAAATAAAAGCTGGGAAGTGAGGAATTCCCCTCCCCAATATAGGGAAATAATTAATAAAAAGTATGAAAGAGAAGCTAATACATGTGGAGAATACGTCCCTGTAATCTATATTCTGTCTAATGTGAAATCCAGATGGAAAAAAGTGACAGAACAGAGGACAGACATGAAATACTATGAAAAATTTCCCCTAAATAAATGTCAAAGAAGGACAGTTTTGCATTAAGCTTGGAGACATGCTTCTGAGATATGTGTATTGAATAGAGTGATTGGGTTTCTGGAAAAGCCACTAAAAATTTTAAAATTAATGCTTTTGTATACTTTTAAGTTCAATTTTTAAATACTATTATTCTTTATTTTATTTTTGTGCTGTTTGGGATCAAACTCTCTGAGTTACATCCTTAGCTCTATTGTTCTGTTTTTATGTTTAAAAATGCTTAACATTAATAACTAGAATCAACAAATGGGACTTACTCAAACTAAAAAGTTTTTTCTCAGCAAAAGAAACAATAAGAGAGGTAAATAGGGAGCCTACATCCTGGGAACAAATCTTTACTCCTCACACTTCAGATAGAGCCCTAATATCCAGAGTATACAAAGAACTCAAAAAATTAGACAATAAGATAACAAATAACCCAAACAACAAATGGGCCAAGGACCTGAACAGACACTTCTCAGAGGAGGACATACAATCAATCAGCAAGTACATGAAAAAATGCTCACCATCTCTAGCAGTCAGAGAAATGCAAATCAAAACCACCCTAAGATACCATCTCACTCCAGTAAGATTGGCAGCCATTCTGAAGTCAAACAACAACAAGTGCTGGCGAGGATGTGGGGAAAAGGGTACACTTGTACATTGCTGGTGGGACTGCAAATTGGTGCAGCCAATTTGGAAAACAGTATGGAGATTTCTTGGAAAGCTGGGAATGGAACCACCATTTGACCCAGCTATTCCCCTTCTTGGTCTATTCCCTAAAGACCTAAAAAGAGCATGCTACAGGGACACTGCTACATCGATGTTCATAGCAGCACAATTCACAATAGCAAGACTGTGGAACCAACCTAGATGCCCTTCAATAGACGAATGGATAAAAAAAATGTGGCATTTATACACAATGGAGTATTACTCTGCATTAAAAAATGACAAAATCATAGAATTTGCAGGGAAATGGATGGCATTAGAGCAGATTATGCTAAGTGAAGCTAGCCAATCCCTAAAAAACAAATGCCAAATGTCTTCTTTGATATAAGGAGAGTAACTAAGAACAGAGTAGGGATGAAGAGGATGAGAAGAAGATTAACATTAAACAGGGATGAGAGGTGGGAGGGAAAGGGAGAGAGAAGGGAAATTGCATGGAAATGGAAGGAGACCCTCAGGGTTATACAAAATTACATACAAGAGGAAGTGAGGGGAAAGGGAAAAATAATACAAGGGGGAGAAATTAATTACAGTAGAGGGGGTAGAGAGAGAAGAGGGGAAGGGAGGGGAGGGGAGGGGGGATAGTAGAGGATAGGAAAGGCAGCAGAATACAACAGACAATAGTATGGCAATATGTAAATCAATGGATGTGTAACTGATGTGATTTTGCAATCTGTATACAGGATAAAAATGGGAGTTCATAACCCACTTGAATCAAAGTGTGAAATATGATATATCAAGAACTATGTAATGTTTTGAACAACCAACAATAAAAATTAAAAAAAATAAAATAAAAATGCTTAACATCCAATTTAAGGAAAATTTTATTTGGGGGACACAATTTTAAGCTCAGATAATTAGATTTCCCTTTAAACTTTTCAAATTAGGGTCGGGGCTGTAGCTCAGTGATGAAGCGCTTGCCTTGCATGTGTAAGGCACTGGGTTCGATCCTCAGCACCGCATAAAAATAAATAAAGATGGTATGTGTCCATCTACAATTAAAAAAAAATTTAAAAAAAACTTCTCATTTGTATTATGAATTATTAATTTAAAACTTATAAACAAATGAGGGAAAATTAGACTTTTCTGAAATATTTCA